TTGCGAGACGCTCCTTCAACGCTGATAGAAATTTTCGCCAACCCTTTTACAATCTCCTGTATGTTTTGTCAATACGCGATCAGTACCCCCAGAGGTATAATTTGTTTTGGGAACATGGAGAACTTTGCGACTCGACAGATTTAACGTACATCAGTCATCATTTGCTACACGGGGTGTCTTCGGCCGACAGGGTTCGAACACACGAACTCTTGGACATAGGTCCAGTGCCCTACCAACCAGGCTAACCCTGCCTTCCCTACACTTTTATAAACACATTACACTTGATTAATTGAAACGGATAAAAAATACTTTGTCTAAAATACATTTAAAGATTATTAGATACATTGTTTCTGCTCCAATTCGTCACGTATAATTTGTTATAATGTAATTCAAAGTAGGCGTAAATTGTAGTTGCGGCATTTTTACTAATAGAAAAAATTTTTTGAGATCATTCGGGATAATCTGGTTGATCGAGAGTTTACTTTACAAATTAATAAGGTATGGCTATAAAGTCTCGTAATTTCTACATAGTGTTTGCTTACTAATAAATCTTTTTTCTATTTAGAAAACTAGTGTATACTTGGTTTAGTGAAGAAGTTGTGTGGAACATTTATCTGAAGTTATATACGATGTATCGTCAGGCCATTCTTCAAATTCTCCCTAAATGGCATTTTTGGAACAACAGAGTAAGTAGATTTCCACTGTTAAGTAATTTAGGATCGTTGTACTGGTAAACCTAGTAACGATAATGAATCTGCTCAAGATGAACCTAACCTAAAGCACATAAAAGAGAGGGGGGGGGGAAATTCCCTGCATATCAACATATAGGTGTACTAACAACGCCTTCTATAACTGAAAGCCTCCACACGGTTTTTTGTAGGTTGTCTGATCAGACCACTATGAAGACAAACCAAGTAGAGAAAGAACCATTTAATTTAAAATCTATTAAAAATCAGAATTGGTAGCAAAAATGTGTCTTAACATTTGTTTAATTTATGAATATAATTGGGTTGTTTTATTTACTTGTCAACCACTATAGATTCAGTTCTAAAATATATATAATAAATTTCTCTCAAGTATTTTTAAAATAGAATTTGGGTACATGCGCAAAAGTAGTTGACTTTTTAAGTACTCTGCGCAGACTTCTTGTAAAAAACCGTGTGGAGGCTCTATTTAGTGGTAAAGTGTTTTCTTCAATGTAACGGCGCTTTCTACATTGTTATGGCGTTTTATAAATGGAGTTAATACAATTGAACATTTAAGTATAATGGCGCATAAAGAAAGAATTCTTGCTCGCAATTCATAATTTAATTACTATAATAACGAAATATAAACATTCATAGACTTAAAATAAAGTTACACAAATCTCAACTTTTTCTGAAGGTGTAACTTTGGTTTAAATTTTACAGCTATTTTAATGCAATAAATCTTCCTCGGATAATTCAGGGCAAAAAATATCATTAAACTTTTCATTGACAGGCATTACCGGGTCTTAATTATAATTTTATTTTATATAGGTGTGTTTTTCGCATGTGCGACTTAAGGAGAACTTTCAGAAGACCTTAGAAGTCATCAAGGAAAACAACAGAGCTCAAAAATTCTGTAGTATTCTCATAAAAGCTAAAGAAGTCACTCAAGAATCTGATTATATCTCTCTTCACCCTCCCGTAGAAATTTCCCTGAACAAAGATGAGTTAGAAGCTCATTCAATTATCTGCGAGCTAAAAGAAATCATTCATACAGATAAGCCTGAATATATTCTAATTGATACAATCTTAAAAGCGCTTAGAAATAGCTCCAATGAAACACGTCAGCAGCTTATTTCACTTCTTTTTAGTATTGATACGGTTAATTTCTTGAATCCCAAGAGCCAGAGTTCAAAAGAATACTTAAAATCTTTTATAAGTGATGTTGAATGCTTTTTTAGAAATGCAAATGAGATAAATCCTGATAGGATTTTAGATACCCAAGGAGCTTTAAAAATGGTTGAAGATAGATTATTTGATCATTTTGAGAAAAATGAGTCAAATGATGGATATCTGCCTACAGTCTCTATTGAGCATTCAATCTCTTATCTGCATTCCATAGTGTTCAATGTAATTTTTGACGAAGGTAATCACTCCGATGATCATAATAGAGAAATCGAAGCTTTAATGTCTGATGCTGTTTCACTAATTTCAAATAGGTTGTTACTACTGAACAGTGCCTCAAAATCTATTATAGAGAAATGTTTATTGGCACGAAGATCTTCACTTGCTATTGACGGACATGATTTTGATTGCGAAGAGTGTTATTTGGAGCAGTTTAGATATTGCTACTATTTTTTGGACGAGGTAAATATGAAGTTTTTTGAAACATTTATTTAAAAAGTGACTATGTCCTTGAACACTTATATTTCGTGTACCGTTTACAGGGGTAGGGTTAGTCTAACTTCACCTTCTGTGAAGCCTCTCGGTACATATTTAGCCTCTCTATACGGCATTTTTGTCTTGATAGTTCGTTCACCAGGAGTTGGCACTTGGCTCCGCCTTCATCACGTGGTACGCAACGATACTATTTCGCTATTTTTGAGAGAAGGATGAGAACAATCTTAAAAAAAGTTGTTATTTTGGCGATCGTATGACAAAAATATTTCGCAATCTTTATGTACATTTTCTTAACATTAAATATTTTATAAATCTGATGATATTTCTCTCTTTGGAGTGAATAAGTTTGTCTTTTTTAAAGCATTTTGCTGGGCACACAGCCGTTTTTAAATTTAAAATGTATTTAATTGGATAGAGTAACGAAAGGTATAATAGCAGATGATAAAGCGAAGTAAGTGACTTAATAAGAATTCACTGTTAGTGTTTGGCGTGCATGAACGGTTGTTTCAATTTTAAGCGCGGATATGTTTTTCCCTCTTACTCTCGCTCTGAAATGAACTCTTCGTCCGAGGAAATTATGGAGCAAGTGTCAACCCCTGGTGAACGAACTACACTTTATGTAACAATACTAATATAAAATTAATAATCAGTTTTCCCCCTCAACCAAATAATTCCCACAGAGTAGGTGGCCCTTAAGCCTGCCAGCGAAAACATAGAGCCACGCAATTATAATCAGTTTTGCAACTTAGTCCTAGATTGTAAAACAATTATTACTGCAATTTTATATTAATAATTATTACAATCAATTATAAAATAATTATTACAATATTTTTTCAATTAAGCAAACCATTAGTTGTCATCAAATAAAAGGTTGAAAAATAATTATTACAGCAATTTTTTCAATTAAGTTAACCAAGGCTGGGATAGCCTGGTCGGTAGGGCATGTCCAAGCGGTCGTGGGTTCGATCCTCGCCGGCCCAAGACTCCCCGTGTTGTAAATGGTGACTGATGCATGTTAAATCTGTCGAGTGTCAAAATCCTCCATGTTCCCATAACAAATCAATACCTCTGGGGGTACTGATCCAGGAGTTTCCTTGTCTTCTGGATTGATTTAAAATTAAGATTCTACGGAGTTGAACATCAGTAGTCGTAAACCCATGAAATTGGGTCGGCTGTTCAACGACGGTTATAAAATAAAATAAAATTAAGCTAACTATTAGTTGTCAATAAGTAAAAGGTTTGGTTGATAAACTATTATCGAAAAAGTACTATTAAATTAATCATTTATCTTGGGGATAATTTACAATTTAATTGATTTTTAATCAATGAAAATTATATCTTAAAACATTATTTTATCAAAAGTAAAATATTGAATTTATGGGCCGAGACGAAACAATAAATTTGTATTATGGAAAGTACAATTACTACTGCATTACCTTTTTTTTTTTCCATTGACAAAATTAACTCTATTGATATACAGTTATTTTAAAGATGGCAACGACAGCTGAAAAGCTTTCTTCGACAGTTTCAGTTCTTCCTTTAAAATAAAAAGAAATTAAAGCTGTAAAGCACAGGTATTACTTTTTAGTACTTTAGTATTAAAGAGCGTATTTTTCTCCTCTAAAATCTGTAATCAATTTTTAAACTTCTGTAGAAATAAAGCAAAGCGGAGTTCCGTGTTATCGTTTATTCAAAACCAAGAAGCGAAGGCTACAGAAAATGAAATTGTTGCGCTGATTGGATAATAAATTGAAATATGAATGCGAACCTCTGATTGGATGAAAACAAACTGAAATAGGGAAAAGAAAGTTGAGAATCGAATTAATGATTCAATGAACTGTTTGCTTCTCTTGGCATCAAATGAATCATTAAGTCAAATGAATCGATTCTTTCGAACTGTATCCTATCTCTTAACATTAATATTGCCTCAAAGAGTTGATTTGTGTGTCGATTTTTAATACTTTAACATTACAGTATTTAAATGATTCTTTGAGCTGGTTGTTCGACTCATTTGAGCGATTTTATATCTTTTATCATTAAAAGAACTGTTTTGTGAAACTAATAGATTCTTTTCAGTATTATCTTATCGTCTAACATTAATGGGTACTTTTGGAGGTTAAGAAGAGGGGCAAGTCATTTTTAGAAAAAGAGGATTTTTGAAAGGAAAAACAATTGTTGAATATTCAATTCGCATCTTAATGTTTTCAATTATAAATATAAGTGTATAACCAGTAATTATGTTACACAGAAAAAAAAAATATTTTTTTGAATTTTTTTAAGGGGTGGGATGATTTCCTATTGTTAGGTAGTAGGCTACTGTTATCAATCAATCTAAATTAAAACGTTTAAAATCTTATTTTTTTAAAGAAAACTATGAAATGTACCTTCACTGGTTGGTTTACCGCACATAGTCTCAATCTTAAAAGAAATTTTTTAATCATCTGTCCGGAAGTGTTTCGCATAACTATTTTACCAACTATTTAATTCAATTTTAACATTTTTGAAATTCTTATTCTTTACCCTACAACGTTTATTATTTCTTCATTAATATACTAATTAATTTTTTTAGTACGTTAATTTAGGTTTTCTTTAACGTAAAGTTCCTTTTTAAATTATAGTCTAGTTTTTTTTTTAAAGAATTATTGTCTGCTAGCTAAGAATAAAACCTTGTTAAGAAATAAAAAACATTCCGCTGTTAAAATTATTTAATGCAAAACAGCTGCTTGTTTACTAAGCATACTATTTTTTTCGAAAAAATAACATAAATTATAGATTTTTTTTTTTTGTGACTTCAACATAGATTATCTAAAATAGTGTTGATGTTTTATTAGTCAATACAAAGAGTATAAAGTTACTGAATATAAAAAGCTGTCGAATACGTAGCCAAAATTTTTAAGCATCTTAATATATCTCAGTACCTTAAATGACGTCTTAACCCTCCTGGCGTCAAGCCCGTTATTTTACGGGCTTGATTTCCATGCTCAAAGCGGCTTGCCCGTGTTTTCACGGGTTCACGATCTGCCTCTAGAGCGGCGAACCCGTCTTTTTCTCCTCTAGAATATTTCCTTCCCCCTCAACCTCCTACTGCTCACAAATTGAGAGGCGTATAAGCTGTCATCGTAAATCACTCACTGTGCTATAGTATTTCTGTTTGAATAGATGTGAATATTTTGCATTCTTTTTGATTTTTGAACCCCCACTCAAACTAAAAGTTTACCTTTAATAAACAGGTTATTTTTTTTT